CTTAATATCATCGCTATTTCCTTATCCTAGATAAATACTTTCTATAAGTTTGTATTTAGGTTCTGGATACTTATCTTGTAAGTTTTCTATTTCTAAACTGTCAAAATCATACATTATTTTATCTAAAATTTCATCTTCTAATATATCATAAAGGGCATTTATTTCTTCGGGAGATTTTATTTCTACTAAAGTAGTTAAGAATTCTTCTTCGATATAATATGTTAAATTATCTAGTTTTTTTTATAATTACTGAACCTTATACTAGCTTCTTTATTATGTTTTACATATATCATATTGTTTTCCGGAATCTTTTGGGTTGTTTTAGTAAGATTTGGCAATTCACATTCTATTCCTTCATGGGTTATACTGCTTACTTTTCTATCTTCTATCATCTGGATATATTTGCTACTAAAAGGTTTAACTATTTCACTGAATTGAGCTTTGAACTTTAAGTTATATTGATTAACTGTTTTTCCCATGAATAAAGTATTAATTAATAAGTTTTCATACTGTCCGGTCATATTATATCCCTTTGTGGATATGGCTATTTTTATATATTTACTAAATTCTCTAGTGGTCATCGTGAAATTAGGAATACATCCTATAATAACTGCGTTAGCTGTTAGATCTATTTCAGCGCTAGCTATCTGTGCTTGTTGATGGTTATTCCATCAATCATCATAAATATATGCAAGTGCTCTGGTTCTTACTTTTGATCTATTTAATCCTACTATTCCAATCATTATTACGCCTAAATGTATAGGTTCTAATTTACCCTTTTCTATCTCTTGACAAGCTTCTGGTGTTATAAGATCTAAAATTACCTAGTTGTTTACTACACTTCTCCGTCTTTGGCTAAGATGATTGTATATTTAATTTAATAAATTATTAGAATAAAGATTAACTTTATTAGATATTTTCTTCATTCCTTTTTCTATATAATTTTGAGTATCGTGTTCATTATCATATAGATCTTCTACCCTCATTATTTCTTTGACTTTTCTAAGGGCAATGGTTATTCTCTATGTGGTTGTAAAAGATTTATACGCTTTGTTCTTTTAATCGAAAAAGGATTAGTTGATAATTTTATATCTTTTATTTTACCTGGAAGTTCTGCTATTTCTTTAGAGGATTCTCTAGGAATACTATCTTGTATTACTTCTAATTTTTCTTCAAGTTTGTTAACTTTTTCAGATAACTGGAGTAATAACTGGATTAAAACGTTGTTTTGTCTAATATTTATATTGGTTGATTTTACGTCTATGGTAAAGCTTGTAAACCCAATAAGTTCTTTATCTATTTTATAGAGCTCAGCTAGTGCTTGTAGGTAATCAGGATTACTAGTGCTCATAAATTATTGTAATAACCTTTGGATATCTTCTTTTAATGACTTTAAATAATTTATAATTATTTTTTGATTTTTAGGAATATCTTTTATATCACTATTTATATCTTTAATGGAGGAAATTATAATTTTATTATCTAAATTTCTGGGACTAGACGTTTGTTCAACTGTCGCTTTAATATAATCTAAGTTTTCTGCGAGTTATTTTATCGAGTTGTCTAGGTTATTAAAATCTCCTCTATTCATAAACCTAATTAAAAACTGTCTTCTAGCTTCTAGAATATTCTGTATAAGAATAATTCTAGATCTAAGTTGTTCTATTCCTCGTTGAAGGCTATGCGTTGTATTACCGAGTTCTAGTGAAATATAACTGTTTCTAAGTGCTACTTGAAGAAATTCTAAAATGTCTACAAGTTGTTCTTCGGGCAAATTGTGTATAAAAATAAACTTTAAGGGTGAAAATATAATTTTAGCTTATAAAAGGGTTTAAAATGAAGGTCGTCACTTTTGGTTCATGATATAATAAATATGAAAACTACACTCACTACAAGAAAAATGACTTTTTACCACGGTGGAAAAGGCTTTCTACCACGGTTTTGAACCGTGGTGAAAACAGCCGTGGTAGTAAAGTAGAGACTTTCTACCACGATTTTGCACCGTGGTAGAAAGTCTTCTTTCTACCACGGTTCCGCACCATGGTAGAAAGTCTTTCTTTCTACCATGGTGTATAACCGTGGTAGAAAGTGTTATATAATTTTTTTCAAAAAAAATAGTGTGGCCCATTTGAAGCCTTTTTTTTTTTTTTTTTTTTTTTTTTTTCCCTACTACTAGCCTTGTAAGGACCCATAAGCAAAACCTAAATAAATAAAAAATAGCATCATAACCAAAATAATTTACAACTGACCAATAACATCATATATATATATAACCAATTCCAAATCATTGTTTTATACAAAAATTAGCCATATACAAATTTCAAATAAGTACATAATCCACACCTTATATATTTACTTAACCAAAATAAAACAAAAATTCTTCATATCTTCTTGCAACTTTTTCGTGAGCCATACAAAGAATATAGCAGCAACAAAAAAAGTAACGGCAACCGCAACCCACAATCCTAGCTTTGACCTACAAAGATGTAATAGTTGAAGTAAGAGAATTAATGTAAAGCAAGTTGATAAAAGAATGGCTGATGTTGTCTTTATAAAAAAATATAAAATGATAAAATTGTCTAAGGAAAAATAGTTATCTAAAATATACAACATATACTTATAACCGGCTTTAAATGGCAGTTTTCAAAAATAAAAGCTATATTCTTTGAATGGATTGAATTGGATAGGATTAAAACTTTTTTCTCCTAGTTAAAAAAAATTTAAAAAAAAATATGAACTTATTTAATCTATCAAGGATAAAAATCCCATAGTCTGAATAGCATTGTGCATTCACGAAGTAATATAAAGCCAAATGGGTATGAAAAAGGAACATGTAATATTCATTTTCAACCAATATTAAGTCAAACTTTGGGGGTCTGTTGAAATCCTTGACTAAGAAGCTCAAGCACACTTAAAAAAGAGAGCAAAAGACTAAAATGGTCCTTGCAGAGCTCAGTTTCTTCAAGTTGTTGTCCAAGTCAAGCAAAGCAATATTAGTTATTTTCAAAGGTGTGTGCTACTCAATGGCATATATAACCTGACAAAATAGTAGTAAGATTATTTTCAAAGAGGTATGTATACTTCAGTTTCATATGCCCTGACAAAATACAAGTGATAAAGACACAAAATTGGTGGAAATTAGATTCAACTAGTTCAAAGGGATATGACAACTGTGTGTAGTTTACTAATATTGGGGAGATTGGGATGTACTGAGATAGTAGTGACATGGGTATGCCCCTTGTTCCCTCTCAATCCCACTGTGAGAGGAAGCAAAGGGACAGAAACAAACACATATCCAGAGAGGTGAAAAAGGGGTGGCTACACAAAGTAAAAGACATTTCCTTACAAGTGGACAACAAAGTGATCATCTCTCTTTAGGCTCTATATGCACCAGAAAATATAATTGATTTCTAATACTGTGAATACACCAATAAACAAAGACAAGTTCATGGGTGAAAATCCCACCATGAATGGGTGTCAATATCAAAGAGTTACAACCTGTATCTAAAAGTCAGAAACTTAAATATATTGAAAGGCAAATTTGTGTGGGTTTTGCACATAAATTAAACTGATTTTTATATTTAAAATAAACAAATATATTAAAAGTGGGGATTGAAAGAGAGCATATTTTAAAATTTTATATAAAAATGGTATATACTAATTGGTTGCTTTAAATGGATTCAAAGTAATTCCTTTTAATTTAACTGAACATATATAGCTGTGTTAAAATCTAGAAAGGGGAAATTACCTCAGTTTTCACATGTAGCTTTCTTTCATTTTCCGATGGAGACCTAAAGAAAAAAGGTTGGAAATGTTAGCTTAATGATAATTATACAAAATGGAATATGTAAACCAAACAGATAATTAAGAGACTTCTATATATCTTACTCATTCATAATCGTTGATGGCACTGAGCTCCTAGAAGATCTTGAGCCCTCCAAGACTGATCCAGCAAAGGTGGCTTTCTTTTTGTAGCCTGGGCAGAAAAATGTTCAGCTTAAACTTGAGTTGAAGTTTACTCATCTAATATACATTAATGATGAAAGAAGAACATAGGTTTCAACTTCACTGCACGGCGATACATTTTTACACGCACAAACACACATTGCAAAACATAAAAATGCATTGAAGTACTATATATATTGTTGAATTGCTGAAACAACACTTCTATTGCTAAGATTATTAGTCAAGGATCAAACTAGCTTGGTTCATGATTAGAGTTTTTCTTCTATAACTAGGTTAGGGACCAAATGCTTACCATAAACACTAGTAATGAGAAGGCTTACAAGATATATACACTCTTCTACGGTTCACACAATAAGTAAATATACCACATCTTCAATGATGCAATATTCTGAGGTACTACAAAAAATAATTTAAAGAGAAATGTAATGATAAATGGCTGAAGTATAGATTGATGATATATGGAATAGTGGAAAAATGAACGAAAAATGTAAATTTTAAAACTAACTACAGAAACAGAGATTTTGCAGCAATTATCAATCATTTATGCTTTCATCTATTTCTTTTCCCCTTTTGTTTCGCCACATATTGGTATACCCTTAATCATTTGTTAGAATATATTAACTATGGCAAATGTAGAAGCATGATCTTGAAAATATTAAAGAATAAAGATGCACAGTTTCAAAAGAAAAAAACCATATTTAAGGTGCAGATAAACAAGATGAACTTCTTAGTAGACTTGCTCTTTTCCAAATTACACCATTAAATGTAAAGATTCACTTCTTAATGGATAAGTTTTACTATTTGAGTGCTTGGGGTTTCTGGATCACATAGATGGCCAAAACACACCACACACACACACACACACACACACACACACACATATATATGTAGAGATACACACACACATACATATATATATATATGTAGAGAGAAAAGAGAGGGCTTACCTGCTTTATAGTGATTGCAGTGGCTGTCTTGTACTCTCCTTAAGGCTTTGGTTCAAAGAAACTTGGATGTTCCAAATATAGCTGCACACAAAGAGGTTCACTACTCATTAATTTAATAGGTGTTATTAAAGGAGGTTGCTGCCACTGCTTTGTGTCTGTTGGGATCCATAAGTCTGCATCCTTGCTTGTATTAGCTTGAGGGAGAGCGAAAGTAAGCTGTTATCTCCCCCCTATAATCTGTCAAGTCGATAAGAGCTTGAAGACCCAATTCCAGTCTCAATACTTAAAAATAAATAAATAAATAAATAAAAATAAAAAGCACAGTACATTATTAAAAGATCAGAAAACACCTAGCCGTACTGAGATAAACTAAATAATGTAATAATTATCATAAATGAGAACCCCCAAATGAAGGCATACAACAGGTTACCCTTTTTCCTATCACTTAGCTCTTCATGCTTTAAAAACCAAACTCCAGCAAAAGCTTATGTTCAGCTTCCCGCGACAGGTGGAACTGTTGCTAGCTTTGAATCCTCAGCTTTTTCATGTTCTTTGTTAAGCATCTAAAAGCAAAATTTGCAAAATCTCAGAAATCATCTAAATATGTGAATGCAATTACATTACCAGCACAAAGTAATGGTTCTCAATTCTTGCGAATGCCTGTAGGGAACATATTAAGTTCATATCATTAAAAGACACAAAAAAAAAAAAAACAAAAAACAAAAACAAAAAAACAAAAAAACTGAGCCATGTTAAACAATCCCAATAAAGCTGCGTAATCATAAGATCTGATGGCAAATTGCAGATGCTCATAACTTCAAAAGATAAACATTTATACCAAGTTGAAAGTATCTAAAAATGGTATTAAGAAAAATTAAGATAAGATTAATTGCATACTCTTCATTTCCCCAGCTAATTCGTATATTTAGCACCATCGATGACACCATAAGCTCGGGCTTTCTTCTAAAGAAGATAAAGGGAATTCATGAATTTTTGGTTCAGCATTAAGTTTAAACAGGGAGTACCATTGCAGTCCACTTAGGTCCCCTACTCAGAGACAATCCCACCGATGAGGCCTTAAAAATTCCAAAATAAAGGTAATGCTGAACCAAAAAAAAAAAAAAAAACTTGGAAAATGAAACTTGATGTCACTGTCGCATTGCAAATTGGCAAAGTGTAGCAAGGTTAATGATTCAATCAGGTTTAAATGATAATATTTGGGCTGTTTTCAATCTAAAACAAAACATACACCCATTTGTGACACTTAAATTATGAGATCACATTTGAGTTTCACCAACAATCCCTAAATCTAGAACCAAATAAGATTTATAAAAAATCACCAATTGAATCACCTATCTGTAGTCAGAATTTGTACGGTTGAAAAAAGAAAAAAGAAAAAGGTTCCTGAATATTGAATCTATAGAAGATAAAATTTGGATTTAGATGGCCATAAAGCACATGGTAATTAGTGTAACGACCCGGTCATTTGCCTCCCTTTCCTTTTTCCTGAAATTTTACGAATTAATTTTTTTTGTTCAATTTTCTTTTCTGAGCTCTATTTCATTTCGCTTAGTGTCATCTCGAGTGCTCAGAATTGGTTTCTGAGACTCTTTCATGTGAATTGACAACTTCCTTTGAGCACTGAGTCATTTTCGCATTTTCACTTTTCGGACACTATGCACTATTTCGTCCTTTTCCCTATTCTGTCTTTTCCCCATTTTGTCACATTGTTGACACAACCTCACTTCTCATACTCGGAGTTGGTTTTTGACTTCACGTGCCTTCATCTTGAGTGGTTTCCTCGAAATACGTATCTTTACTTTTGCAAGAAGATACTCTAGTTGCTCTCGGTGCCCATAGGGGTATGGATGCACAATTCTTCAGAATCTTTTTCATTTCTTGGGGTGTTTTTCGTAAATATATTTTGAAGATATTTTATTTCAGGGGTATCTAAGAAAATATCTTTTGGAAGATATTTTCATTCTGGGGCAGTTTCGCAGTTAACCCTTTTTGTATGGGTCATTGTGCAATTAACGAAAGTTATTACAAAATACCTCGTCTGGAGCCTGGATCTTCATACGGGATTCATTTTCACATTTCGTCAAGTCGTGGACTCTTAGAATTCCGTTCTGGTCGTTTTTCTCCAGTTTCAGAGTTTCTGGACCCGGTTGCCGCCGAACTTGTTCGAGGCATAACTTTCTGCTCGGGACTCGGTTTTTGACGCTGTTTTTTTTGTTGTTCATATTTTCTTATTTTGAATCTTTTTTTTGTTCACGGAGTTTTGCCGTTTGAGCGCGTTTGTTCAAAATCTACTTTTTCGGACCCAGCGGGGCCCTTTCGGGGCACTTTTTGAGATTTCTATAAATAGGTTGCCCTAATTTTTAAAATCAGATTTTCAGACCTTCTTCCTCCTCTTGGCTGGCAGCCATGGGAGCCCAAGGGGCTGCCTTCACTCTTTCTTCTCCTCTACTCGATTTCCTTGGTAGAAATCATTCGGTCTTAACATTTGTTGTTCGCCTCGTCATGCTCTACCATTACCCCTTATTAGAAACCATTTTTGGCCAAGTTTTGAGTTTGGGTTTGAGGCTAAGTTTGGATTTTCATGGGGCTTCTTGGGGATTCATATAGATCGTGTTGTCCCCGACAAAACCCTTCGGTTTCGGCGGATTCGGAACACTTTTTTTTCGGTGGGCCTTTAAGGTTTTCATCTCAAATTGAGGTAGGAGGTGTTATAATTTACTTTCTTGCTCTATTACATGCTTTTGATGCTTATTCAACTCAATTGCATGCTTGGATATTAAATCTAGAATTTTTGATTATTTATTTTCTACTATGAAATTTAATTTTTCCGGTGAGTTATAGCATGTTTTAAACTTGTGGCTTGAAATTATATTACACCTTGATATGTTGATTAACATATATTAAAATTGGAGCATTTGGATAAGAAATGAAGGTTTTATTTAATATTTATCTTGATTAAAATATTAAATCATGTGGCCTTATCTAGCTTGAAATCAATGTGTGATAGCATATTATATTAGGCCTTAGCATGCTCTTTAACATAGTTTAATTTGAAAGTAATTGGAGATGTTTTGAAATCTAGAGATTTTTAATTAATTTTATTAATTAAATTGCTCCGAGTGTACTATTCACTCCATTTAAATTCTGACTTGATATTCTTGATTTACATGCCATATAGTTACACATATATTTGATTTAGAATATTTGGTTAAGTTTTTAGAACCTTTCCTTTGATTAATTTCTTATTTAAGATTTAATCCCGAAGATGATATGCAACTTGGAATTTGATTGCGGCATGATGATAAATTAAGTTTTGGTATGGTAGCTTACATATATTAAATTGGGACTAATTGCATAAGAATTGCAAAATTTATTTAATATTTATCTTTTATAAAAGTTTAATTCACATAGTTGAAACAAGCATGAGATCAACTTGTAATGTGATATTAAAGTAGGCCTTGGTGAGTTCTTTAACCTATGTTAAATTGAGGACATTTGAAGTTGATTGAAAATCTAGAGAAAAATTAATTAATGAGCTTAATTAATTTTATTTTAAGTACGTTGGTCACTTAAATTGATATTGGATGTAATAGGTTGATAATCCCTTGAGATGTAGTCCGTTTAATTACCTTGTGAACATGTTACTAAATTCATGTAGAATTAGTATTTGAGGCATTTTAAAATGGTAACTGGACTTGGCATGATATGGAATATCATTGACTTGAATAGCTTGTTTAAACATATCTTGTATAGGTATATAGCTTGTTAGAATATTACAATTGTTTACCTTGTGAGCTAGTTACTAAATTGGGACTTATTTAGTACTTGTGGCTTAGGATGGTAATGTGATTCAATTGCTGTAAAATATTCTTGCTATAGGTATAAATTGCATATTGAGAACATGACATGTCATATGCTATCTAGACTTGAATTCTAGGACATGAATTGTGTGAATTCAACCTTACTTGTGCATGGAACGTGGTAACTTGCATTTGATTTTGTATAAGTTTTAAACTTATTGGTTTTGGAAGGCTTGTGAGGACATAATTTACGTGATGGCTAGGACTTGGCTCTAGTACGGAGACAAGAGTCTTTTAAGTCATAAGTGTGCACTAGGTGGTACCTTGTGGGTTGTAATAGCCTGGAATAATTTATGCACGTGCGCACTAGGTAGTGCCTTGTGGGTCGTAATTACCCAGAAACACTTACTTGGTCTAGTGACCGCATGTCCTAGTCTTTCCACTATTTACTTTTGCATTCAATTCCAAGTAGCTAATCATGGATTACTTGTAACTTATGAATTGGTGCTTGCTTCGTGTATTTGATTTCATTTAGTATACTTGGAACTGTATACTTGCTTCGTGTATTTTGATCTCATTTAGTATGCTTGGACTAGTATACTTGTTTATGTATTCAAGCCTCTTTTAGTGCACTTGAACTTGTATACTTGCTCCGTGAGTTTAGATCGCATTTAGTGTATTGTGCCATGTATACTTGTCTTATGCGTATCTCGTGTAGTTTAGTATACTTGTGTTTGTATACTTGATTTATAAGTTCTCTGTATATATCTCATACTTGTGTATGTGTGCTAGATATTGCTTATCCCATTTAATATGATTCAGTATACTTGTGAGCATGTGTACCTGTAAATCGTGTATCATGTTTTACTATGATTTAGTATACTTGTAAATGTATGATTGTATATCGTATACACTGTTTTGATATTGATTTGCATACTTGAGCATGTATACTTGTAGGCCATGGTATAATTCAATTGCATAGGTAACTTAGGATGCTCCCTGAGTCTAACCTTTGACATAGACGTTAGGTGACATGATCCCTTTTGAAATGATTCACGTTGTCTAAAAATCTTAAAGAAATCGAGTCATGCATGCTCATCCCCTACGAATAAACTTGTTAGTCTTGTTTATTCACCCCGAAGTTACTGGGTGTTTTGCAGGTAAATAAGCTTTGTTGGGGGATACACAACACTCTTAGACAGGCTAGAAGTCTTAAAGTATTGTTGATGACATTGATTATGTACATGTTAGCATATCATGTTTACTTTTATTTATTTTGATAAAACTTGTATTATGTGCTTAAGCACACTTTTTGGTATTCATTCTATGTGTATAATATGTGGCCAAGGGCCAAACTTCATTTGTAATTCATGTATATTAAAAAATGTAGAATTTTGCCTTTAATGAGAAAAGCATGAAAACTTGGGTTTCAATATGTCATTTTCGCACCGGTGTGTGCATTGTGTATTTAATTCATCCTTTAGCATTCATTTGCCATATGTGAGGTGTGGCCAAGGGCCAAACACCATTTAGCTTTCATTTTTGCATTTTAGTTCACATATTGCATTTTTGGGCTAAATAGTAAAATCCGAGCCTTTAAGGGTTCATTTTCAAATCGGGTGGTGCAAAGTGTGTTCCGGCACTTCCACTAGGTCTCATTTATCTTGTATGAAGTGTGGCCAAGGGCCAAATGGTCATTTGAAACCATTTCCTAATTTTGGTTTCCATATTTTCCATTGCAAGTCCATTTTTGCCTTTTTGGCCGTTGGGGGGTCGGATTTTGTATCAGCGGTATTTTTAAGCCGTGGACCATTGTAACGCGTCCAAATAGGTAAGTTACGTTTGCGTGCATGGTCGTTTCCGGGCAAACCCTCTTCTTTGGTGAAATGAGCCTCCTATAAACTCATTTTCCATTATTGTTGCATAATCTGTTCTAGGGGCATTCTAGACCTTTCGCATTAGTTTTATTTTCTTATTTCAATATGGTCGCTTAGAAAACATGATTTTAGGGGTGGTTTCTTTTTCGTGTTTTTCCAGAAAACATCGTCTTGGTATCGTAAATCTATCGTAAAGTTCAGTTTTCTGTTTTTTTTTTATTTAGCAACTTTTTGGACCTCCATGACCAGATTTCATGGAGGGGCATTTCGGGCATTCTACATTTCATTTGTTTTTAATTCTCTCATTAGTCACGTAGAAAACTCAATTTTGAGGGGGGTTTCTTCTTTATGTTTTTTCAGAAAAATTCATCTTCTTGCCCGTTTTTTATCTCAGATGTAGATAGATTTTGTTGTAGCTTTTTGCCCTCTTGTCTAGTTCTAATCTAGGGGCATTTTGAGAATTTCACAATGAGTTTTTCTCGATTCCGTCCGCGAAGTCGGGTAGAAAACTCGATTTTAGGGGGGTTTCTTCTTTGTGTTTTTCCAAAAAAACTCGTCTTAACCTCCATTTCAAGTCTCAGTTCTGGAACCTCACTCTTTTTTTTTTTCTTGCTGTCAGCTTGTGCATGCCATTGGGCGCCGGCATGGGCGCCGGTGGGCTCGTGCATGGGCGCCGTGTGCGCCATGGCCTTCGTCCGGCCATCGCGACATCTCAACTTCAAACCATCGTTTCTCCCTCGCCCGGACTCCAAATCGAGTGAACTTTTTTTTGAACTTGACTAATTTTTCGTTGTCTTTTCAATGGTGTGCTCGGTTGCACTCGGATATTCCTAGATAATTACCAGTTTACCCCTTTTAGCCTTAAGTGCTCGTTTTTCTTCGTCAGGCCGTTTCTCCTTCATCCGGACTCCGAATCATGCGATTCTTGAGTCCATCCTGATTATTTTTTGTTGTCTTTCTAGCGGTGTGCTCGATGGCACCCAAATCCATATTTTTTAGAAATGACTATTTTGCCCCTGGGGGCTTATTTGTCATATTTTTGATCTTTTGCTTCTGCATCAGGTCTCATTGAGTTCCACGACCTCATGGAAGGTCACTTTGACTTCTTAGAGTCTTGTTTTATGTTTTCGCTTCCGCATATCGGATCCGTTATCGGGTCAATCTTCGGTTCATCACAGGACACGCTGGCCTAAAAACCAGGGTCGTCACAATTTGTCATATATAATATACAACAACAAAAGGGGGTGTGTGCTAAAGTAACTCACCAATGAAAACTTATCATCATCCCCTTTCTTGATATTCTCTTCATTTGGAAGAAGATGAGCAGTCATCATTTCCCATTTGGTCTATACTCTAGCAGCTGCATACTGAGAACAAATAAAAAATTTGCTAATGATAGATTCCCAAAATATAATAGTACATGCAGATTCACAATCAATCAATGATATTCTGCATGAGAGGGTTATATTAATATAGCCCTAACAGATACACCCCTTTGGTTGCATTTAGGGCTACAAAAAACTAAGCACCCGTAACAATTCAAGAGAACTCTCACTAAAACTTTTTTGAAAAAAAAAAAGAGACTAATACCATAGAATTTAAGCATTCTGTTATTTCTGGTCAAGAAGCTACCTTTATTTAGTTTTTTTGTAAGATGTCTGGCTGTACATCTCTTATTCATCATAGATATTACAAATACCTTGATTATAACAAAAATGAAACTATAAACCATGCCTTATCCACAACTTCTACATTTCTAGATGTTCTCCGTTGAGCATCACTCATCAGGAAGCAGGCGGTTGATATAGACCTCCTTGTGTTGTAAAGACATAACATTATGAATTCATTCCAAGCAAATTTCAATAATCCATACAAAAGTTGACAGTTCCATGTATTAAAACCGTGTTATAACAGGTTACCCTTTTCCTATCACTTAGCTCTTCATGCCTTAAAAACCAAACTCCAGCAAAGGCCTAGGGCTTTAAGAAAATCAATAAGTTGCATCAAATTAATTTAGTAAAATCCTCAAATCCTAAAATCCCCAACTAATTTTTCATCACAATTACTTATCCATATATGGAGATAAATATTTCGCCAACACATTGAGATGAAAGATATAAGATAAACATTTACCTGTAGAGTTCTATAATTTTGGTCAATTGCTGATCTTCAAATTGTTACTCAACGTCATCCTTATGAGATAGTAGAGAGGGCTTGAGAGTTGAGAGACAACGGGCCTGAGGCTGAAGCTTTCAAACAGCGAACCCAAATTAGAAAAGCAGGCAATGGAATCTGAAGGATATGGGTTTTGATTTTTTAAACAATCTGAAATTATATGCTGATATGGATTCTAATTCTTGTAGATTTTGTAGTTTATAGTTGCAGAGATGGAGGCGATTTGGGAGGCTGAAATGATTTGCCCTAAAATTGTGTGGTCTGTAGGTGTGTGTGGTCTGAAATGATTTCCCCTAAAATTTTAAGAAAGTAGCGGGTATAAGACCCGCGTACAGCTTTAAACCAAATTCACATTCTACCACGGTGCCTTAACCGTGGTAGAATAAGTTACTACCACGGTTTTTCATTAACCGTGGTAGAAAGAGCAGTATAATAGGCTAGGTAAAGATACGATAAATTTAAGTAAAATTAATTCACTTTCTACCACGGTTATAAAAAAACCGTAGAAAGTTTTTCTACCACGGTTTTACAATAACCGTGGTAAAATATATTACTTTCTATCACGATTTTAAAATAACCGTGGTAAAAGACACTTTCTACCACTGTTATTTTAAAACCGTGGTAAAAAGGGCATTCTAAAAAACTGTTTTACTTATAGTGACTCATGAGTTGGTAATATACTTTTGTTACTTCCACTTATATGTAAATGTCCCAAAACATAAAGAGCATTTCTTATACTATGACAATACAACTTATTAGGGGTTTAACCCAAATTGGTTGCGGATGCGGAATGTGACGACCTTGGATTTTTCAATCCAGTGTATCCTGTGATGACCCGAAACGAATCCAGGGTGCGGAAGAAAAACAAAGCCAAGTTCTTAGAGATGTGCATTATCCCTAGGACACAAGAATGGACTTTCAAAGAGTTTTAAGGCTCAATAGAATCAAAACGAAGATAAGAGTATCAAAACCCTACCGAAAGAAGAACGAAAGGTAAAATGGTCATTTTACCCTAAGAGGAAGGAATTTGACTTCCAACAAGTCAAATGAGATCAAAAACATCCAAAAACATCCTTTGGTAACTTCACATGAACCCCAAAGGCCAAAGGAAGTGAAATCTTAATTGAACCATATCACGGTTCGAACCAAATCCGACACCCTCTCACAAAAATGAGGGTATCTTAAGCTAGGAGAATAATTTGAAACTGAAATTGATGCCATTGGAAAGCTTGTTTCGACCTGATCCGTTTAGACTCAAGAACAGACTAATTCGGAGCTAAAACGAAGAAGTTACATCAGTTTGAAGTTGGAAGGCCAAAGTTGAAATCTCTGGAGGACTTGAACCGGTTCAACATTCTTGAACAGGTTCAACATTGGCAGAATGCCCAATACTGAACAAAATGACATCTTGAACTAGTTCAACTATTCTTAAACCTGTTCAACTTGAACAGAACACCCAAAATGCAGCAGAAACAGTGTTTTAGCAGAAAAATGAGTTTACGATACGGTTTTCGAGGTCAAGATGACATTTTTTAGGAAAATGTCATGAAGAAACTCCGCCTGAAATCACATTTTCTATTTGACAAAGTCAAGAATAGAATTTATTTCCCAAAGAAAATCCCCAAAATGCCCTTGAACAAGATTTTTCAACAAAAAGGTGAAATGAGTCCCACGGAGGCTCAAAACACAAACGAAAGGGTTTTTCATGAAAACGATCATGCATGCAAATGTAAATAGTAATTTTAAGCGTGCGGGAATGGTCTGCAGCTCCCGAAAATGGCCGAGTTAAAATCCAACCCCCCCGACGGCCAAAAAAGGCGAAAATGAACTTCAAATGGGAAAAATGAAAACCAAAGTTATGAAAAGATTTCAAATGACCGTTTGGACATTGGCCACACTTCATGCATATAAAATAGGTCCTAGTAGATGTACCGGAATACACTTTACACCACCCGATTTGAAAATGAACTTTTAAAGGCTTGGATTTTACTATTTAGCCTGAAAATGCAATATGTGAAACAAGAATGCAAAAGTGAAAACAAAATGGTGTTTGGCCCTTGGCCACACCTCATACATGGTAAATGAATGGCAAATAATGAATTTCATACACAATGCACACTCCGGTGCAAAAATGACATGTTAAAACCCTAATTTTCATATTTTTCTCATTAAGGGAAACATTCTACATTTTTCAATATACATGGCCCTTGGCCACATATCATATACATCAAATGAACATCAAAAAGTGTGCTAGGACCATGCTACAAGTCTCAAGGTAAAAATAACATTTTTGAATTAACTATGAATTACAACTTTAAAAGTAAAAATCAAGCATACTAACACTTGCATGTGAACAAGAATGCATTTAAAGAAACTTCAAATCTCCAAACCACCCAAGGCAAATGTAAATCTCCGAAGCTTAAATCCTGTACCTGATCAAAACCCCCAGTAACTTCGGGGTGAGTAAACAAGTTTACTCGTAGAGAATGAGCATGCATAGACTCGATTTCTTAAGATATTTTTACATTAACTTGAAACAATTCAAAAGGGATCATGCCACCTAGCGTCTATGTCAAAGTGAGACTCAGGGAGCATCCTAAGCTACCTTAGAGTATAAATCAACAAGAATCATGATATATATATACATAAATGAAGCAAATCAAGGTTGGGATAATCCAAAGAACATGACAAGTTTATAAGTTAACATGAATCACATAATCAATGTAATTGAATAAGGTTTGGAATAATCCATACAACACAACAAGAAAATACTAGAATACTAGGATCACATTATTAATGCAATTTACATGATTGGGACATACCAATTAACACGACAAGAGTTATACATGAAATCAAGAACAAGGCATAAGATCTATGCAATTAAACTAGGATGGAACATGGCACGAAAGAGTTTTAAATATTCAAGTAATGCAACACTTGAATTTTAAAGAGTGAAATCAAATAATGTGAAAACTTGGATATTACCCGGATTAAAAGCATACTCTTGGGATCACTTTAGGGCTACTAACCCATGGGTACCTTCCCCTAGTGCGCACGATAGAAAATCATTCTCTTGGGATCACTTTAGGGCTACTAACCCAAAGGTACCTTCCCCTAGTGCGCACGATAGTGTAGGGAGCTCTCTATCTCCCATACTAGAACTAAGTCTTAGCCATGTCACTTCTTGATTGATATCTCTGCGTTTCCAAAATCAACAAGTTGTGCAAGTCAAGATGGCATCAAGATACAAGTAATGCATTAAACATGTTTCATGCACAACCAAGATTTTGGAAACACACAAGTCATGCCTAAGTTCTCAACTATCATGGCATGTGAAATGTTAAGGAATCATTGTATGTATCTACATAGACTACAACTAGGATATATAGCACATAGAATCCATTGTTGTAAACATACCACTAATATAAGATAAATGATTTAATGATTTGTTTAACAACACTTGAACAATAAAATCATTCCAATGTAAGGGTGCAAGTTCATCAACTACATTAATAAAGGTAAGTTGCAACAAGTCAAGATACACGATAAAAAGACAAAAGCCCCATGAAATACAAGTCTAATTCATTAGAACACTAAGTAGAAATTGATTAACCTAATTAATTAATTTCTTTAGAAATCAAAGTTGTCCAAAAATTCTCAAAATAATATATGTGAAAGTATATGGCACGCACATCAAGAATGTCAAGTCAGAAATCCAATGGAATGAATAATACACTTGGAATAAATTAATTAATCAATTATCTCTATATTTTAAAACACCTCCGATTACTCTCAAGTTCACCTATGTTAAAGAGTATACTAAGGTCTAATATAATATGCTAGCACATATTGATTTCAAGCTAGTTAAGGCCACATGAATTAAATATTTACTCAAGATAAACATTAAATAAAAACTTCAATACTTGTCCAAATGCTCTCAATTTAATATATGTCAAGGATCATGTCAAGGGGTAATATAATGTCATGCCACATATTTAAACCAAGCTATAATCAACCGGGAAAATCAAATCTCATACAAGAAAATTATTAAATAAAATCTCTAGATTTAATGCAAAGACATGTAAACGAGTTGTATTTAATCAATAGCATGTAATACATTAAGAATATGAATTATAACATCCCCGGCCTCCATTTAAGATGAAACCTCAAATCCCCACCGAAAGAAAAATGCTCCAAATCTGACGATACT